TTATTTTTTAAAAGATATCTTATTATAGAAAAGATTTCTTTAAAATACTGAATACAGTTTCTTTTTTCCGGAGATATATATATATTGAAATAAGTCCAATGAAAATTTGAAGTATATATTTGTCATTGATTTGAATTATACAGGGTCTATTTTTCTTCTTCTTAATACTTTTCACGTCATGTCAAGCTGATGCCTCTCGATTCGTCTGGCCCATCGTTTTTTTTTATATGGTTTTCGCATAGTACATGAAAGTATGGGAGGAAATAAAACGTCATTACTTCACAATCCATATTGGTTCCTTGCTAAACACAGCTGACTCAAATATTGAATCTTTTTATAGGAGGTCCAAACAAAAAAGCTACAAAAAATTTTAGAACAATCAGGTATTTATACTTTTCTAAAAAAAAAATATTTATTAATAGAGATATCTAGAATATACATTCATTGTTGTCTTTTTGTTTGATCAAAGTTATACTAATAAAATTTATTTAAGAATATTCATATGTTTTCAATTACAATTGTTACTTGTTCTCAATGGTAGTTATCATTTGATATATATATATATGTGTCACAGATTAGTTTTTTTCTTTTTTTTATACTTTCTTTCAATTTTCGTTGTTGATAAAAATTTAATTAATACCACACAATTTTAGATGTATGTCGTTTGTCTATTAAACATGATAAAAACCTACGAAGGAAAAAAAAAAAGAAAGTGAAACATTCTGTCTCGTAATTCAGTTAGTCTATATATGCAACTGAAGCGAAACTTAGAAAATAATGATGATAGACAAGTTTATACACTATAAAAGATGAAAGTAATACACATATGAACATAGATTTACTTTATAAACAAGAATTTCAAAACAAAGTACGTATATATTATTGTATGCATGTATATGTATGTATGTATGTATGAATCCGTTTATTTAATCTCAGCTGGTAGGAGAAGAGCCGTATATTTAGAACCTCTTGTTATCAACTGAGATTTCATAAACATGGATCATATCAACAATGATATATAATAATTAAAAGATATAGGAGAGTGGCATCTGATTTGAGTATTGCACTTGATATTGGCTCGATTATTCTATTGACAATACCGGTGTTAATACTCTTATCATACCATAATATACATATAAAGATAAGAAATAAAAATTGTAATTAGTTACTCATTATATTTTGGTGTATGTCTTATTAAATTATTTCGAGAAGATAATAAATAAGATTCTTATTGAAAAATTTTTCATGAGAAAATTTCTATATTAATAATAATTAGTAGTTTATTTTAAATAGAATCTGATTACTGAGATTGAATGATATAAACTTGAAAGCAAATATGATTTCTTCTTACAGTTTCTTTTCTTGCAAAATAATAACATTTGTAAATTGAAATTATCATTAAATTAAAAACAATACTGATATTTTGATATTAATAAGAATCGTTTAATTGAAGTATCTGTAGTCAGTAAAACTCTGTGATAGTCACTTTAATCAATAAAAGAAAAAAAACCTATATACAAAAATTTGATATATCCTTGAAACAAAGAAAAAAATTGAAATTTATTACTCTGTTGAATTCTTATTTTTTTTCTAATGCTTATGCAAATATTGTATTTGTAAGTAAATGCTTTTTAAATGAAAAATATATGGAAAGGAGATCTTGTAACTTTCATCGAATATCGATCTCTTGAATAAGTTGTCATTGACTTAAAACAAAAAGTTGTTTTTATTTTTTCCCTAACTATTGTTAAGGCTTTATTTTGAAATTTTTGTACGTATTTATTTTGTAAAATTGCTCAAATTTATCCATTCAACTTTTCTGAGAGTGACTGTATTTGAGAGCTTTCTTCTTTCTTCTTTTTTTCTTTTTAAACATGCGCTCTCAAAAGAAAACATTTTTATTTACTAAGTTACTGTCCATAGCTACAAAATAAAGAAAAACAAACATAATGTCATTGTTGTGGTTTCATGTTTGACAATCAGAACTTAAATATGACATCATACAGGTATCCATATAATGTAGAAAATTTCGATGTGCAAATAAAATAAAAGAATAGAAGACGTAATATCAACACAATTGTAAAAAGAAATAAATGTACTCAATAAAAATATAAAAGTTTATACTTATTTTTTTTTCTTGTGCACTATACGTATAAACTGATGACGAACAAAGAACATTTTAATATGTCAATCATACATTTCTGTTATGCTTAATAAAAAAGCAATATTGACATTGCCCCATCCAACAGCCAATTTAATGAATAGCTTTGTGCACACAAGTCATAAGTATTTTGTCAAATATGTTCCTTTGAAAATCAATAGGCCAAACGAACATTATTTGTTTGTTCAAGTAGTTCTCATGAATGAGATATACTTGAGCTTGAGAACAAAATCGGCAGCATTGTATCACAATGGCTATAAAATTTGTAATCTTTTTTTTTTTTCTACTACTTTTATATATCTTGCTATGATAAATTTTCTTTATTAATAACTTACGAGGAAATATCATTGTTAAAGTTTATTCTCTTATTAAATGACATCAGTAATTTATTATATAATCGAACTCTTATATTAATTGCATGGAAGCATGAGAACTTCTTTTAAAAATTTTATGTGTATAAAAATGCACACGAAATCATTCACCATAAGAGACACATTTATGTCAGTTGACCGATTACTTTTAAACTCAAGATGTTGTTGCGTCGGTACTCAAAACTAACTATGTGAACTGTATTAGTTGTTGCGTTTGTGTATTGTATTTAATCATAGCTTCAAGAGCAAAAGAACGAATATTCAAATTATGTAATTCCTATCTGTTTACAAATTTACTCGTGTGTATCCAAGCATTTAAAATCGCAATAAACTATTTCTACATAGAGTCATATTATTCATATCGAACTCAATAGAGAAAATATAAAATTATATTACAAAGATGTATAGCACAGCTTGACAACTACTAATATTTCCAATAACTATACAAGACATGTTATTACCGAGAAACGAATATTTATTCATCCAGATAAATAATAAAATTCTAATGCTTGTAATATATGTCATTCTTGAGTTTTGTCAATTAAATACAACCATAGAAGAATAGATCATATTGGCATTTTAGATCGTTTTAATGAAATCTTATTTTAATTTATATGCTTTAGAATGGTGAAGTTATTCAAGTACATATATATAACACATAACAGAATTCAAAAAAAAAGAAGAGAATTTTTTTCATAATAGGTGGCAATTGTATGACAGCATGAAGCCTAATTTATATAAAAGCTTAACCTTGCTGCAATAACCTAGCAGATCAAATAAATAAATGAAAGAAAAGAAAAAAAAAATTTATTGACGTAGGAGGAGAATCAGGAAAAAAACTTTTTTTTTCTCCGCCGGTAACTGACAGTATATAACTATGCATATTTGTGATGCCATGAAAACATTATCATTACCAAAACTTTGAAAAAAACATACTATTACTACGATGCAATCGATTATCTTAATATCTTTGGTAAGAATTATTTTTCTCTTGAAGAATTTTATTCTCTTATTTGTATTCACGTTGGCTTTCTTTTATAAATGTAGTTACTTCTTACTATAACAATATTCTCATTACAATCAGTAAATGGTGCTCCATCGAAATTAAAACGCGCCGTAACTCACTCTACACCTTCGCATAGATCTACTACTCCAACAACACATGCCGCTCATGCACATGAGACAACAACTGCAGGAAAAGCTTTGCCAAGGCGAACTACTACACGATCGGCTGCTAAAGTAACTACTACTCACAGAAAAAAAACTACTACAAAACCAAGTAAGTTATAATACAAAAGGAAATTGATATAGAATTTTTCTTTCTTTTTTTTTTATAAATAGGAGCAAAAAGATCTCGTCAAAAACGTTTGTCTGAATGGAATTGGGCATAATAATTATACTCTACGTATAAGATATCACAAGAACAATTTTTGAAGAGCTATGTATTGTAATATACTTTTATATTTTGTTATTATTATTAAATAATCATACTTTTTTCTTTTAATCATTTATTAATTAAAAATCGAAAAATTAATATTTGTTAAATATTCTCTCATAGTATATATTTATTGTTAATATAGAAAGTTCTAGATTTTATACTGCTTGTTTTAAACATGAATATTTTGTATCGAATATAAAAATTGCTCGTAAATGATTTCGATAAAAAGAAAAATAAAATAATATTCATTGAAATATATTCAAATCATTCTAGTACAAAAAAATACGATGTACAACTATGATTGATTACGATATTGAATATCTGATAAACAACTTTTCTTTTTTCTTTTTTGCATATTGTATCAATACATAAAAGTGAAACAAAAACCTATTTGAAAATGGATTGTAGGATTTTATTAAATAAAGTGAATAATATTACATGTATATGTAGAACACAATGTACGTGTCAAATTAAGTTTCATATTTCTTTTTGTTTGCAGAATGATTTCTTTTTATTATGTCAAAAAAGATCTACTAAAAGACCCAAAAGGTTTTGACAGAAATAATGAGAATTCATAACGAAATTGAAGTCATTAAAAAGTACTTAATAATTCATACCTTGAATTTCAGTTCTTTTGACATATACAAATTTATTCTATAGAAAAAAAAAAAGAAAGAATTTTGTCTTTTAAGTAGATCCTATGAAATTTCGACAATCTAAATTTCGGCGATATCGAATTTTCGTAAGTATCGAAATTCTCACAAAATTATGGCAATAATAATTATTTGCGTATATTTTATTATCCAATTTTCATCGGAATTTTAAAAATATTCACAGTAGGTGAAACCGCACTCAATCAGCTAGGTCTCAATTAATACGATATAAAATTCTTCAACTAGTGTTATAAGATTACGTTCTTCATTTACGTACATTTTTTCTTTCTTTTCTTTTCTTCTTTAATTTTTTTCTGTTTTGACCCACATTACATTATCGTTCGATGCCCTCGATTTTCTTCCATAAGGATGTGGGTGTGAATGTGGGCGGCGTGTTGATATGGGTTATGAAAACAGTCAGATATCACACGCAGCCATACCCATACCCACACAGTTAAGTATGGGTGATTTTGATAGCAAAAAAGCTGAAATCTGTCGAATCAGATTCCAAGTTACAAGAATATTAGAATTGAAAACATTTACATGAAAGACAATAAAATGTTTTTTTGATCTTCTTACAAAAGATTAAAATAGTCATTCAGAAATTCATTTAAACACTATTTTACAGAAAAGTACTATTTCTTTTCAAAAAAAAAAAGGATACATTTCAATTGAATAGTACATATGCATTTACAATTACATTTTTAGTCACACATGCAAAAAGTTTTAAAAAAAGTAGTCATTATGAAAATTTCGTTTATTATATTCTCATTCGTTAATCATATTATTTTTGTTGTGATGCAAAAGATTCTTATAATTTTTGTTCATTTCTAATTTATTGCTGCATGCAGATGCTGTTGAAATTGTTGTCAATGATGTTATATTCGTGATTTGAGACGAGCGATTCGGATTCGAAAAAAACTTACATTTGCCGATTCTGATACGATTCTAATTCCAAAGAAAGTCGATGTTGCCTATGTCTAATCACAATATGTAATGGTCTGTAGAGGAAGAAAGGAGCTTCGAAATTTTACTCCTATACTTTAACACTTCTTTTAGATCATGTTTCACAAAAAATATTATCTAAAATCAATTCATCTTCATTTCAAAAGTCTATCAAGAAAATATAAAGAAAATTATCCTACAAAAATATTTATTGATGAATGATAAATAAACATATTTTTATTAGAACCTTGTGATCTTTATACAAGTTTGAGCTGCAATTCTCTTTTTATTCCATTCTGTCCATTCTTCTGATGATAAATCATCGGGTTCAGTTTCAGGTTCTTGTACCCATCCTCGTCGTTGTGCTATTTCAAATAGAATAAAGACAAATGCTAACATAGCATAAGCAACAGTGAATCTCCATCCATCATCAGTTGCTCGATAGAGAATTCCTACATTTGATGCATGTATTAAACCAAAAAAAGACAGAAGACCAGCAAGTAATGACCAAATAGCAGCTCGAATAAATTTTCGATCAATCATATATATCATAATAACAGTAAGAAAAATACATTGTAGAAGACTACCACCAGCAAAATTGTTAAGACCACTATAAGAAAACTCCGTTATGTGGGATGTTATATTTTCTGTAAAGCTAATATTAGGTATTGTAAAACTAGAATAAGCAGATGAAACACCATTAATTATAGTCGCTCGTGACCAATCAGCTATGGCAGGCATGATACCAAGAAGAAAAGCTGGATAAAGACGTGGTGGCGTAATAGCAAGAGTTTCGGTACAAATAAAAAGACCAATAAAGATCTATAATTTTTTTAAAAAGTATACTAATGATTTGATTATTGATTCTATTAATTCAGTCAAAAGTTACTTAGAATTAAATGAATTAATTGGGGAATTCTTATTGTCATTAAAAGAGCTTTTCTTTTTTTTTATACTGCATAATATGAGTTATTGAATGTTTACTTTTATGAATCATAAATAAAAATAGAAGAATATTCTTTGTAGTCGAAGAACTGAATTTAATCCAAAATTCTTGAAAAAAAAATTTTTTTGAATCCATCATTCTTATTTTATAATTGTCAATTAGGTATGCACAAAATTCGGTCATTTTAAATTAATTAATAAAAGCAAGTAGAAGCAGACAAAAAGAAAGAATTCCAGGCTTGGCTAGGGCAGATCTATACACAGTAGAATAAATGATTCAGAAATCGAAGATTTTCAGACATTTTAAAAAACCTCAACAATGTTCAGAAATACTCGAATCCGAACTAAACGAAACTTTAGAATACTTCGATGATTGCCCATATATCTCAAGAAACACTTGGACAATTTCCTCAAATACTCAACACTGTCTGAGCTAATTAGATAGTTTTCGAATCCGAACACTAAACAAGAGTTCAAATTTAGTGCATGCCTATTATCTATGATATTGCCATAACGAATTTATCATTTAAACTTAGGTGTACAATAATAAAACTATTACTCAGAAATTTTACACCAAAACAAATCCTCTGACGTATCATATATCAAATTTCTTCATTTACAATGTCTCATATTACATCATCATATCACTCTTTTTGTATAGAAGTTTTTAAAGATATATTGAATATATGATATAACTCACAATAACTGGATTCACAGCAACAATAGCAATAATTCTAAGAAAAAGAGCAATAATACCAAAAAAACATAATGGAACGTAAATAAGACAGTTGATTATAGAATAAGATTGTCTTGCACCCATTTTTTTAAATGCTGGATGACCAATATATGCTAAGCACGGTAGCAAAAGAAAAACAAAATAATACAACATATTTCAAATAAATGTATGATAAATACAATATGACTTACTTGTCATACCAAGAAAAGATCCAAAAAAACTTGCAATTATAGTACCCATTCCATCAGCAAACATTGATTCACGAGTTGGATATAAATCTCCACCTCTTTTTGCTGATTCAACACATTGTATAGTACCAACAGCAACTGAAATAGCTGTAGGAATTGTTATCGATAAAAATGGACCAATTTGATTCATATGTGTAAATACAGCTTTAGCTGTAAATGCTGGTGCATAAGCTTTGATTACAAGTGTTGCATTACGTACATCTTCACCTTTATTAAGTGATGTTGCCCAACCAAGACCAGTTCCAATGACTAGAGCTACGGCAGCTACAGGAAATGGACCAACTTTAACTAAATGAAAGAGGAAATATAAAATAAATAATAAATCATAGATTTTTTTGTTTTTTTTTTATAATATATACTTCCACTAAAATAACCAATCATAACAATGGCAAATGGAACAAAAGATACAATGGGTGTAGCAGCTATAGGTAAGTATTGATTTAATGCTAAATAAGTAAATCCAAGTGCTGAAAGAGATGAAAGTAGTGCAACACCAGGTGTATTACGTCGAATAAATTCACCGAAGAGACATAACGAAAGAATAATAATGCCAGTTATAAAATTACTTGCTAATGCTACATACCAAGCACGTTCTTGACATGAACGCTTATCAGAATTATTATTTTCTTGTATACAATCATAATAAATAGGAAATATAATACCAAATACAAATGCATCTAATAATATTCAAAAAAATATAAATACAAGAAACAAAATTTTATTACATGCTCCTGGTGTATTAATTCCATATGGCATTGCACATATGTCATCTCGTTTTTCTTTATAGGCTAATTTTCGAGCCATATAAACATAATAGAAATTACCCCATACCATAGCCAATGATACTCTAAGAACAACAAATAAAAAAGAAATCATCAAATCATTTATATTTTATCAATTATTTTTACCCTGGTAAAATTTTTCCATAAACAATATCACTATCAAGAACAGACAAAAGACTAAGAATAATTGTCAATAATGTCGCCATATTGTCAATAAATAAAGCGACTAGACCATCAATATCGCCTTTTGTAAATATAGGATATGTTGGATTTCTTCGAAAAGCATCTCGCCATTCGCCAGGTTGAAATGTACATAATTTGCGTATTGATTTCCTCAATGCATTCCAATGTTGTTCGAAAAAAAGATGAATTTTATCATTTCTATTCAATACAACAATATTGTCTTCTGATGAATTATGCATCGACACTTTATGTTCCATGGATGAAGGACTCGTAGACATAAACCTGTGTCAAAAATAACTACAGACTGAGAATAAATATGTACCTTTTATAATAAGATGGAAAAAGTAAAATAAAGTTGTACTTCTTCATTTGTGTTACTCTTTCATAGTCTCTTACGAATATAAAGATTATATTGATAATATATGTTTCGATTTCAGACCATAGGCGTGTTCCACAAGAAAGTTGACCCAGTCTATCTTGAGAATAGCTGAACCTATCGAATTTTCCTTTGGTTTATAAGGATTTTTCTCGATATGCTCTTTCTTTTTGTCTCCAGAAAGTTTTTTCCAAAGTGCTCGAAAGTTGGATTTCCACAAAAAAACAATGGTTTTTTACCTGTAGATGATAAAAAATGAGTTTTTGGAAAAACTGACAGTTGAAAAAAGTTTTTAATATGATATTCGGATTCATCATCGAAAGACAAACATTTTAAAAAACATTCGAGCCTATAAAACAAAATTTTAATTTTAAGGTTTAATTCCAAATTTTTAAACCGTCACCTTTTTTTCACTTAAAATAGCTCAACATAGACAGATGATAGAAAGTTAATTCGAACGTCAATCGATAAAAAATTCAAAACTGAACAAAAATAGAGATTAATCTCTATTTTTGTTCAGTTTTGAATTCTCTATCGATTAACGTTCGAATCAACTTTCTATCATCTGCCTATGTTGGGCTATATTAAGTGAAAACAAAGTGACGGTTTAAAAACTTGGATTTAAACCTTAAAATTAAAATTTTGCTTTATAGACTCGAATGTTTTTTAAAATGTTCAGCTTTCGACACTGCATCCGAATATCATATTAAAAACTTTTTTTTCAACTGTCAGTTTTTCCAAAAACTCATTTCTCTCATCGGCTATAGGTAAAAAACCATGGTTTTTGTGGAAATTCAACTTCCGAGCATTTTGGAGAAAACTTTCTGAAGACAAAAAGAAAGAGCACATCGAGAAATCCTTATAAATAACAGGATAACTTGATATATTCAGTCATTCTCAAGATAGTTTTTTCATAGAACACACCTATTCTGTTCGTGTTTCAATACAGAAAATGTAAAACACTATTGGAAAGATACAACGATGACATTCTCTCTCACAAAAAAAAGAAACTGCGAAGTTTTATTGCCCTCAGAAGAAGTCATAAGGTATTAGTATGTCATGAAAAACAATATTTCAACTGATTTTTTTTCAATAAGAAACAATCAGGAAAGAAAAACAATGAGAAAATATTTCATTACTTTCTATACGAATCTATCTATATATATATTTGTATTGAAAAGACTCAAAATCGTAATAATAATTGTCTTCATATACTAACCTGACGATAGCTATTTCAGTTTAAAATATTGTTTATATTATGTTTTCTTCAATTACTCATGTTTTTGATCAAATCAAGAGCGCTAATTATAACCACTTATCATTAAAAAAAAAGCGATATCTTCTACACATCTGTCTCGGTAATTAATTTTACAGGTAAGATAATTTTTATGTCGTCGTCGATATTTTTTTTTGATGAGTTTTTTATCAAGCTCATAAAATCAATAAATGCCTCAATTTCATCTTTCACTATTTCTATATTTGCTTCAATCAATGTAAAGAAAAAACAAAGAAAATGTGATTAATATTTAACATAGTCAGCTCAGATTGAAAACACTTCCTATAGAATACGAAATACCTAAGGTACCATATTTATGTTGTCATTTAACATAAAATTTACTAACAAACATAATTATCTACTGTATAGTACCGTTATATAAATATTAAATTAGTGAAGGGACTGTTTCTTCTCAACTTACCTTCTTTTTTTTTGAGTAAGCCTAATAATATATCATGTAAACAACACAAGATTTACCTTTTATTTTGAACATAGTTTTCAAAAAAATATCTGGCATAGAAATTGATGATTAAAATGCAATTCTTATTTATTAATATGCTAAGTTCTTGTTCATTTACTTTTATTTTTGTTGTTTATTTATTTTTTATAAATATATTTGAAGAAGTAAATTCAAAATGTTTTACAAACGTACTTTAATTGTTTTTATATAAAGAAAAAGATTGAATCATTTAAAAAGAAAAAGTTATATGGATAAAATAATGGATTTTTATACAGTCATCGAAATATTTTTTGTTAACATAATGAAATTATACTTTGCTGATTTATCTCAATCAAGAGTCTTGCTTCCTCCTCCCGAAAAGAATGTCAATTTTAATCAAATTCATTGGTTTTTAGAACTTATAGTTCGTTAGACAGAGTAAAGTTTCTACCCTGAAATGTACTATAGTTTATTGATTTTATGATGAAATTTAAGAAAATGACATCGATTTTTCTGAATCCTCACACAGAAGAAAATAACGTTTTTTCTAAAAACTTTGATTTTTAAAGTCTTTCAAGTTTCTCTGTTCATTTTTGGCAATAATGGACATGACTATCATGCATCGTCAAATATAATAAGTGAATAAAAAATACTTGAACATGAAAAATCACAGAATGGAATAAAAGTACTTAACTTTGACTTATAACTAAATCTACGTTGACAGAGAATATAACCAAAGATTTTTTACTATGATCCCACTAATGCAAAATAGGCTATGAATCACTGGGCTTACTTTTTTGTTTTTATTAAATTTTTCTTTATCACATTTTCAACTAGACTTTATTTTAAAACTTGAATGGCTAAAAACAAGTATCTAACTATTCTTTTATAACTTCCTATATTTCAGAAACCTTTATATGAAAGAATATGTAATATATATGTATACGAATGCATGTTATATAAACCATATGATATATCAATTCCAAATAGATAGTTGATAGGATATTTTATATTTTGCATAACTAAAACTCATTGATAAAACTAGCATTTTTAAGAATATAAGAAAAACCTTGTCTTATCTTTACTCTAGAACGAAAATAGTGTTCGATTTCAAATCATTTTTTACTCGTCATTCACTCATGCAGTAAACATACAATATGAATAGACAAAAATGTAAATGAGTGACATATTTTCTTTTGTTTTTTTAACATTTGATCTTTAAAATATTTATATTGGAAGTCAAAAAAAACCATTGTCATTCTTTCAGAAAATTAATTCTAAAGTAGGAGAAATATTTCAAATAATATGCAAGTTTAAATAAACATTTTATTTGATTTATTAATCTTCAAATGATTAATTTGTTCGATGAAAATTGTCTATAATTCTCTATAATTTAAAACATTCTCTTGTATCATCTAATTCTTGATTTTCCATCTATATTAATAAATGGTGCAAAAGTCTTTGGAAATATATAAAACTCTGTTAGACCATATTACCAACTTCTAAACTAATGAGATGTTTTTTTTTGTTAGAAAGAGTAACATTTGAACTACAATTATTTTTTTGCTCGACATATTTTTCCAGACTGAATCTGAGAAGGAGGAGACGTCAAAAACAAAACACCTCTAAAAAAAACTTCTTGCTACTTCATTCATCGCGCAGCATCATTTTTCTATCTTCTATTAAATTTTTTATATCAGAAGTGAAATGGAAAAACATGTTTAATGATGTTTTTTATCGTGAAGAGTGCTCTTTCTAATGGACCATTTTGAAACAATAAAAAATATTCTTTAAATTGATTTTTTTTTGCTAAGTTTCTGCGACCTGGCAAATTTCGAACAAATAATACACAAAGAATTCAGTTCATGTATGATTTCTGGAGATTGTGGCTGATGTCCTTCCAAAGTATTCGTTCTTGCAAAACTCTATTTTATAAAAAAACAAAATTTCAATTTCCAATTTTTTTTTATTAAAGAGTTGAGAACGGATCTAAAAGTTTTACCAAAGCTAACATCGATTGTGCAACATTGCGGTGAATTTTTTTATTAGAATTTGGTCCCTGTAGCTCAAAATAATTAAGAAATAGAATCTTTTCAAGTTGCAAAAAACTTTTCCTAGAGACGTTTATTTGTTTTCTTGGCTTTTTCTTCCTTTTAGATCCGTTCTGAGAAAATATGTCTTGTACAAAATTTATAGTTCAGACATTATTCTTTTCAACAAAAAGGTTTCATTGATTTAGAAGTTGGCATTATGAGGTAATAGAGTTTGACATTTTTCCAAAGACTTTTGCATCATTCATTATATTGAACATTGTATGTAAAAAGAAACATCCATTTCATAATTATTAAGTCTTTATAAAAGAAAAAGAAAAGAATAAATGTTCAGCATTGTTTTCATTTTGTCTTTGTTTTTCCTTATTGATTCATTTCTTGTCTAGCGGGAAATTATATACTAATCAACAAAAATTGTATGTGTACGTTGTCAAACATTAGAAAATATATAGTTATTTTGTGTCATAGTATTTTTGTTTATCATTCTCAACAATATTATCATCATTGATTTTGAATCTATCAATCAATGTCATGTATAGATAATTGTAATCAATACAAAATTCAGTGAATTAATTTTCAAGTAAAGCATATTTTGATTTAAGATTATAATGAACAGTTGATTTAAAATATGTAAAAATATTAATATTTATAAAATCGTGTTAGGAAAATCTTTTAATACTTTAAATCGATCAGTTTTTATTTCGTTTGTTCATTCGAGATGAAAATCTAACTAGATTTTCTAGTTGATTAATGTAAGATTTTAAGTAGTGATTTTTTATGTTTTGAAAGAAATACATGATTAAATAAGTTTCTCTTTATATCTCTTATTATCGATTCTGAATATTCGTTATCTATAATTTATCATCATAAGGAACTCAATTTTAAATAATTATATTTAAAAAAATATATATATATATTTGATATGATATGATATGCAATAATAATTTAAATTTCATAAGATTGTTGAATCCATCATTTTATTTTAAAAGGTTATTGTCTTCAAAGTTAAAATCTTTTAATAAAAGTTAAGTCTATTCAACTTGAACTGCTGATTGATGTCGATGACGACGATTTTTATGATATTTTTCTATCATAGC